TTGAATAACCCTTGAAAATTCCAACGTAGGGGTAGAACTGCCGTTGTTGCACCCCCCCTCCCCGGCCCCCGCTTCCCGCCACCATCACCGGCTGCGCCTGCTACCGCCAGCACTGGCGGCGCCTACCACTGCCATCATTAGCAGCGCCTGCCGCCGCCCTCACCAGAATGATCTGCCGCTGCACCCCCACCTGCACCGCCTCCTCGTCAGTGCTACCATCGATCACACCCGGCTGGTGTCACCCAACCAACTTTGCAACCTGTTGCCATCACCATCATCCGCCATCTCTGGTGTGATACCGCTCCACCTCCGAGCACCGCTGTCATTAGGTTGGCAGATTTAGCTTTGAAGAGATGGCGCCATACATCTGCCATTAGGTTGGTAGATTTAGCTTTGAAGAGTACTTGGAATCTGCCATCAACGAGGTTTTTTATATCTGCCATAAAGTTGGCAGATTTATCTTGGAAGTTTAACACAAAAGTGTCATAAATTTGGCAAAAATGTGAAGTCAATAACCAAATGTGAAGTCAAAAAAATGAAACATCCACTTTAACACAATCGAAAATTAAAAATAAGAAGTTATTGACAAAAAATTAGAGAAATCGATTTACACAAAAGCGTTTCTGCCATAATACGATTGCCAGTGTTCACATTTCTGTCACAAACTTGACAAAATTTGTGTTGGTCCAAAATAGGACGCTCGTAGGCTTTTAGGAAAGTTACATAAGAACACTCAAGCAGGAATTAGGAAAGTACGAATATGGAAAGTTGCAAAGGGGATTTGGTAACCAAGAATAGCATATCTCATTTGAAATTCGGATTTGCCTTTTATAGGCGATTTACAAATAGTAACTGTCAAAGATACTAATGGCTAATTAACTACGACATTAATACAGAATTAAACACATGATTAATAGCGCATTGATTGTTGGCTGTTACTCTTCCTGGCTGGCAGGCTGGACGCTTGAGCTCCCTCCTGCTGGACTGGACGATGGGCTTCCCGCTAGGCTGGAGGGAGACTTCTGACCGGGCTGGAGGCAGGCTCCCGGGTAGGCTGGAAGGCAGGCTCCCCGTTGGGCTGGAGGCAGGCTGCTGTCCGGGCCGGAAGGCAGGCTCCCACCTGGGCTGGACCGCAGGCTCCCAGCTAGGCTGGTGGTCGGCAGGCTCCTGGCTAGGCTGGAAGGCAGGCTCCCCACTGGGCTGGAAGGCAGGCTCCTGGCTAGGCTGGAAGGCAGGCTCCCTGCTTGGTTAGAAGGCATGCCGCCTTGGGCTTTCACTCTTTGATGGGCCTGATCGGTTGGGCCGGAACGAGCTCTGGATCACTGGGCTTGGGCCTGCTGGTCCAAGTCCGAGGCTTGGGCCGATTAGGATCTGGGTCTAGTCCCATAACCCCATCACGAGTCCCCCACTCCCTTAGTCGAGTAGTAGACTCGGCTAAGAGGGAGTAGTTTAAGTCAGCTGCCGATTTAAAAATATTCACATATCAAGGAACCATAATTATGGATTATGTGAATCCCAGAGTTTATGGAAATTCCCAAATTAAATCAGGCTCCCAAAAAAGGCTCCAAATAAATTCCTTCAGCATCCTAGCACTCCAGCCGTCAGCTTTCTTCCGGACTTCAGAATCCAGGTCAGCTCCCAAAAATTCCTGAAATTCATAATTTTATAAATTATTTTCGGAATTTATTTTATCTTTCCTTTTGTCTCTCTCTTTTCTTTTCTTTTCTTTCCTTTCTTTTCTTTCCTTTTCTTTCCTTTCCTTTCCTTTCCTTTCCTTTCTTTTCTCTCTCTCCTGGAAACCGTGTGCGTCGTCCTCCTTGCGTCTTCCTAGCGCAGCGCCGCAATCAATGCAGTTGACCGACGCCTAAGCTGGCGGCCCTCCATCTGGTCGGATGCCCATGTTTGCGAAGCTCTGGCAGATCCCTGCGTCGATCTACAGCCAGCGCAGCGGCTCCCCAGGATGATGATGCCTTCCTTCGGGCGAAGGTCTGGCCGTTCCCCTAGGCGGTGACGGCTTCTAGGCGCCGGTTCCAGACGACGACGGATTCCAGGCGGTGGATCCAGGCGGCGACAGCTTCCAGGTGAAACATCAGATCTCCTCGGCTGGCATCCTTCCTCCTCTAGCGAGCGACTGGCCGGCAGACCCTTGGAATCTCTAGGTCGGGTGGACCTCTCCATGTCTGCAGGTGCAAGGAGTATGATGTCATCTCCGGGTCGGTAGGCTCAAAGCTTCCAATCGCCGGTGATCTCTCCCCATCAGGCTGACCCATCTTCCAGGCCGAATTTGGCTTGCGCCTTTCTCTGTTCGGGCGAGTCTCCAGGAGTTCTCACTCACGCTTTTTTTTGCAGGTCTGGTCTTCTCTTCCCACTGAACAATGCAAGGCAGCAGATGCCCTCACCCTGGGATTATCGGCCACGGTTCTTCCTCAACGAGGCAGACTAAGGATGGAGGTTCTGATTTGATGGCGTAGGTTGGGCCTCGGTCTGCTGTTGGCGAAGTCCGCTAGATGGAGCGCCGTGACGCCCAAGACGGTGGCCAAATGCCCCGTGTCAGAATCTCCCCGGTGAATGGCAGCGGGCCAGAGGTGGATCCTCCAGGCTGGCTGGATGGAGTCGGAGCAGGGGAGCAGGGTGCATCTCCTGTGTATGCAGATTGGCCATCCCTGTATGCAGACTGACGGCGCTTCGTGTTTTTGAGAGTAACAAATTTGAGGTGCCTGCCGCAATTTGATGCCAGTGGAGCTTTCAATCTGGGCGACCACGCGACCGAGCGGTCGGGCGACCGGGCGGTCGGGCGACTAGGATGGAGTCTCTATTCCCCGGGGTTGATGGCGACGGGCATGTCCAACCATGACCTTTTATTTTGTATTTCCTTTGTTTTCCACTTGAATACTCTGTGTTTCGAATGGATGTTTGATTTTTAATTCATATGTATCCTTTTCTATACTTTTCATTACGAATACTTAGCAATTTATTCGGGGATCTGGCTTCTTTAACCTCCCGGGGGCGGTCAGGCTGGCGTGGCCGAGCCTATTCGTGCCCCTCCTAGTTGGGTAGAAGTGATGTGTTCGCTATTGATATGGAATCAACAAGTAAGTGACTTGTTTGACCAGCAAGGTCGGACATTGAACCGACGAGGAAGACCCTTAGGTCGGTATCCTGAACGTTCATGACCCGGGGCTCAGTCCTACTGTCACTTTAACCCGTCCAGTTTGCCTAGACTTGGGGAATAATCTGGTTATTCCCGCATGGATAGCCAAACCACAGGGGCGGACCCTGCATGATCCACCAGAACGAACCCGCACCGCCAACTCAGGGATGACGAGAGTGCGAGCTGCTTGGCCAGCGATGTTAGGCGGCGAGCACTCGAAAGGACCCGGAGGTCAGCATCCTGAGTACCCTCGACCTGGAGGCCGGCCCTACCGTCGCCTCGACTGTCGTGGCTAGCTCTTTACTTTAGAAAATTGCCCGGATTCTTGAAAATCGCTTGGCTATTTTCAGTTAAAGAGCCTGGCCGAGGTCGGCCAAACATCGAGGGGGGCATAGTACTTCTTTTTTTTGCCGCCGCTCTTTATTGCTAAGTGAGGTCGGACCTCTTTTTTAGACAAAATATCGCTAGCAAAGTATATTGAATTCATGATGTGGGCAGACCACATGAAGAATTATAAATTGTAATCCCGTGCTCGGAGCACAGGAGTTTACAAAGAAAAGTGAAACTTCGATTTTCTACTGGTAAAACTTCATCAGGTGCTCGGCATTCCAGACGCGGTCTACCAACCGGCCTATTGTTGTCTTCAACTTGTATGTCTCAGGGCCGATCACTGCGTCAACCACGTAAGGGCCTTCCCACTTGACGAAGAGCTTACCTCCCTCTGTCGGCCTTCTGGCCTTCCTACGTCTTAGGACATAATCACCGACGTCGAAACTCCGGGCTCGGGCTCGGCTGTCTTGGTACGCCTTGACTTGTCGTCGATAGTTTTCCGCTTTGATGAAGGCACGGTCTCTTCTTTCCTCAATGAGGTGGAGCTCGGCTCGGAGCCTCTCCTCATTGCTGGCTGGTTCAAACTCTTCCACTCGCCGGCTGGGAACTACGGCCTCGAACGGTGCCCTCGCCTCAAAGCCATAACACAAGGCAAATGGGGTTTCTCCTGTTGCCTTCCTTGGGGTTGTTCTGAAGGTCCATAGTATATTGTTCAACTCCTCCACCCAGGCAGTCCCGAGGGCCTCCAACTTCTTTTGCAATCCATCGACGATTGTCCGGTTGGTGTTCTCCACCTGTCCATTTTCCTGGGTGTAGCAGACCGCAACTCGGCTGGATTCTACGCCCCACTCTGCACAGAATTGCCGGAAGGCTTCGCAGTCAAACTGCCTTCCGTTGTCGGAGATTATTCGGAGGGGAACCCTAAACCGGCAGAAAATATTCTTCCATATGAACTTCTTACATTGGAGATCTGTGATGCTGGCAAGCGGCTCAGCCTCAACCCACTTCGTAAAGTAGTCCACCGCGACGATGACAAACTTCCGGTTTCTCGACCCGGTTGGTAAGGGACCGACCAGGTCGACACCCCATCTTGTGAATGGAAGGGCGGTGCTGATCGGTGTGTACATCCACTAGTGGAAAAACGGAGATTGGAGGCGCTTCTGAACAGGCGCGCGCGGCGCTTCGAAGCGCCTCCGATTATTCTGCCGCAAATGCTGTTTTGGAGGCGCTTCTTAAGAAAAAGCGCCTCCAATTTTTTTTTATTTAATTTTTTTATTCGAATTTTTGCGGCGCTTTTTATACAATAAGCGCCGCACGCCCGGCATCTTACATCATAATTCGCGGCGCTTTTTTCATTACAAGCGCCTCTAATATGTATAAAAGAATCACACATTAGAGGCGCTTTATTTGTAGAAGCGCCTCTAATTTCAATTTTTTTAAAAAAACAAAATTTTAATTATCAAATATCCTGCTTTATTTACAAAACGCTTGAAAGACATTATGCACATTCATTCATAAACTCCGTATTAAACGTACAATCAGAATTCAACTCCATAAAAGTTCAAATATTCTAACACAATAAAAAAATTACATTAACATCTTCAAATTTCTACAAATCCTACATATTCATAATGTCATCCACAAAAAATCTAGCCCACACATTTCTGATTTCATCAAACTCTTCCTTCGAATATGGTTGAGTTCTTGAATTCCAAACCTGAAAGCATTGATAAGAACATAAATAAAATGGATAATATTAAACTAAATTATATATAAATAAGTTATTTAGTGAAAACCACTTGTTGAAGTATATAAATAAAATACCTGTCCAATATCAGAATTTCCAACATAAGATATTACTTCCCACATAAATTTCATGGCATAGTACCCACATTCTGTATTGCCTGTTTGCCTTGCACACTTTAAATTGATGAAAAATATACAACATTATTACATAATAAGATAATTTTTTTCAAATAACTCTTCTTTTTATTTAAGGCATAAATATTATATATAAATAAGAGTAGATATCACATCAAATGTACCTTGATGTCATGCCACTTAATTGATTTGCCTCGACCCTTTTGTGTGGAAGCAACCCTATACATCCTATAATGCCAACTCAATATATACACATTGTCAATATCGACATAAAAACATTAATGTTAGAGATCACAACTAAATCATAAAAAACATACATCGTCAAGTCGTTTTGAATAGCAATATGGGATGAACTTGGCAATGAATTGAAGATATAGCCTCTATCAACCTTTGGACAAATTACAATCACAATCCAGTGATACCTATATTTAATAAGACAATACAAGGGGGTGAAGACTTGCTACGTCACGATTAATAAATATGTAAAAAGAATACCATATATAAATCATACCCTTCATTATATGCCAACATAATGAAATTTTTCTCAAAGAATTCAATCAGAGCATGCTTCATGTAAGTCAGTGTGCCTTTTCTATCGACTTCATAATATCCAAAAGAACGAATATGAGGACACAAAAGACCCACATCATCACGACCAAGCTCAATCGATTTAGCATTTAAACAACTGCATATAGAAAAAATAATTAATCACTAATCATGTCTAACAAATGTTCAAGAGTATTTCTGAATGTATTACAATACTTACAGCATAAAGGTCTGAATAATAGACATATCAACAGAATCACCCTCAAGAAATTGACTCAAGTCTTCACGGTCAACAGTGGTCCCAAATTGCATATCTTTAACATAACAGAACACATCCGCAGGAAGAGGTATAGAAAACTTACAAAGGTCGGGCTCATACCACTCAAGATTCTCATGCAATCTTAAAAGATCATCAGTAAGTGAATGAAGAACAGCCTCACTGACCAATGCACATGAGCTGGGTTCAACCATTACTTTTGGTGAGTCCCTCGGGATAAAAGGCAGTTTCTTTTTTGCAACATCCTTCTTTTTTGGCTTAGATGGTGGTTCCTAAAACGGTTATAATAACAAATATGATACATATTTATAGCGAGATAATACAACAAATTAAATAGTACAGATCAACCATTACTTGATTACCTCTCCCTAAAAAAAAAACTAACTGCGTTGGCCACTGAACAAAAGAACCTACAACATCTGCTACAAAATTCATATCAGCGACTTCATTAGGATATAGCAAGGGACAATTTTCAAAGTTTGGATATGCCATAGATATGTTCACTTTAATGGTGTTTTCAGACATCGGCACATTGTGGATTAGCCCCCCGCTAGGCGTGTTGTAGGCTACCGCCATGGCAACAAAATCAAAGCTCTTATCACCACATTCAGTGTGTGACTCAACGGCTAGCCTACAAGATACACCATCCTGCATGCATGTATTTTCATAATAAATGACAAAATAAAACAAAAACTTCAATGAAAATTAAACACTTGTTACTTTAAACTCAATTACAACTTACCGTGAAACTTTTTTTAAGACGAGGTGCAGCAGAATTCATGGTATCCACATGGGCCGCCTCAGAAGCTGTCATTGAATCCCCGGTAGGTACTTCACCTCTTGAAACGAAGTAGTGTTGCATGTCTTTTACCAACCGCTCTTGCAACTGTTTTAGGTCAGCTTCACTCAAATTACCAACTTTATCTCGACGCCCACTTCTTAGGTCTCGATCAAAGACACGTGTAAAACCCACACCACCACCGACGCCACGTGCACGTCAAGGATAATCTGGCTTCCCAACAATCTCAGTTAGAATATCATGACGTCCAGTTGGCTTCCAATTCCCTGTTGCTACATCTGCTTTAACTTTATCCTAGTATAGAAGCAATAGAATGTAATGTTGAAAAATAAACATAACTTAACTAAATGAGCAAATTTTACTAATTATAACTTACCAATTTTTCTTTTTTCTCACGCATGCCCTCAGTATTACCAGGGAACACTAAGCGACCATCCGCTGTTAATCCTGATCTTGCACAAAACCATCTGACATGTCTAGATATATCATCAGTAGTGGTTGTGCTAGAGTTCGATGAATCTACCTCTGAACTGGTAAGAAACTGATCTGATAATCCTTGCTCTTTCCATTTCGGTATGGAAAGAACATATCCTGAACGCCCCATATGATGAGGATAGATATTCTGAAGAGCAGATAGTTTGTTCTTCTCGCTCAAAGCCTTGCAAATGTTACATAAATATTAAATAACTAGTTAATTAAAAATATTGAGTAGTTATTAATTCTATGACATACCATAAACTCAGGAGTCTATCCTTTTGTACAGTGTAGGACTCCAAGGGAAAACTAAATAACTGACATGATAATGGTAAAGAATAGTGCTCCGTATTTACTTTCATTCATGCATTCATTCATTTGTACATGCTGATATGGTAACTAATTATTTGCAATCAATTCTAGTTAATACTGACTCATTTATCTATCAAACAATATTGAATTGAAACAAACAATTCGAGCCTAATAAAGAAAAAGAAGTGATCATGCAAAAATGCACCAATATTTATAGGAATAAAGCAAATGCAGATTGATCATATATATTCAGCATCAAAACTAAAAATAAAGAAGTTTGAGATTCGCATTCCTGGGAATTCATATCACAACAACATTATGTTAGTAAATCAAAGCATCCTAGGTCAATTACCGCAAATGGGTTGATTTCGTCATCTGCGAAGGGATTGTCCTTTCCCTTTCCCTTTCCCTATATATATTCCAAAACGTAATTGAAAAATGCTTACCTGCGATGCCGGCTGGAGCAGTCCACCGCGAGCCAGAGCAGTCCACCGCGAGCCGGAGCAGTCCACCGCGAGCCAGAGCAGTCCACGACGAGCCGGAGCAGTCCACGCCGAGCCGGAGCAGATCCGGTGATATTTTTCCTGTGGCGTCGAGGTCGGTGCGGCTGCAATGAAGCGTAGAACGTAACTCACAGATCAATTTGGTCGTCGCTTAGGGTTTATTGTTGGAGGCGCTTCTCTGATAAGCACCGCACGCGCGAAGCAATTAATTTAAAAAAATAATATTAGAGGCGCTTCTCTGATAAGCGCCGCACGCGTGGCATTAATTTAAAAAAAATCGGTAAGAAAATTGGAGGCGCTTCTTAGATAAAAGCGCCGCACGGTTCATAATTTTTTTGAAAACAAATTATCCGGGATACAAAATGGAGGCGCTTTTATCCAAGAAACGCCGCACGCAATCGAAAAAAATATAAAAAATAAAATATTCCCTAACAGAGGCGCTTGTGCTGAAAAGCGCCTCAAACGAAGCGCCTCTAATTGACGTTTTTCCACTAGTGATCTAAGAAATGACCAGGGCTCTTCTGGAACTTCTGGCATGTCTCACATTTCCTTGCATAGTCAGCGCAATCCTTCATTATTGTTGGCCAAAAGTACCCCTGGAGGACGACCTTCCTAGCTAACGTGCCTGCCCCTGGTGGGCGGAGCACACGCCCCCATGGAGTTCAGAGACGATCATGTCCACCTCATGTGGGCGTAAACACTTTAGCAAGGTCCCATTGTAGGACCTCTTGTACAGCTTCCCATCCAAGACGACGTAGCCCGGAGCTCGTCGCCGGACTAACCTTGCCTCCTCTTCTTTATCGAGGAGCGTCTCGTCGGCTATGTAGCACAGGAGGTCATCCACCCAACACCAGGCGACTGGTTGCAGGGGAAGGACGTCAATGGACGGTGAGGCCGATATGCTTGAGGTCTTCATCTCCTCAATGCGTGCAATTCTCGATATGTGTTCAGGCAACCTTTGGGATAGCTTTGAGAGGAGGTCTGCATCGGAGTTTTGATTTCTCGGGATGCAGATCAACTCTGCTTGCTTGAACAACCCGAGAAACTCCCGAACAACAATCCGGTACTTCATCATTCTTTCTTCCTTCGCTTCGAACTCACCTTTGACCTGGGAAACCACCAGGCGGGAGTCACATTTCACCGTTATCCACTTTGCTCCCATGGCGGCTGCCAGTCGTAGCCCAGACAGTAGGGCCTCGTACTCCACCTCATTGTTGGAGACTTTGAAAAGATAGCGGTAGGCATAGTAGGCTCGGAATCCCTCGGGTGAGATGAGGACGATTCCGCCCCCGCATCCCTTGGCTCCTGCCGACCCATCAGTCGCTAGAGTCCACCACTATTCATTCCTCTCTTGTTGCCTATATGCCACCTCTCGGGCCGTGCATTCCACAATGAAATCAGCCAGAGCCTGGCCTTTGATGGACGTCCGAGGATGGAAGTCAACCTCATATTGGTTGAGGAGCATCGACCACTTCACTACCCGGGTTGTGCCGGCACCCTCAGAGCGGCACCTAGGGGTTGGTCCGACAGGATTCTGATCAGGTGCGCTTGGAAGTAGTGTGTCAACTTCTTGGCGGTGATGTAGGCGGCATATATTGTCTTCTCGAGCGAGGTGTACCGGAGCTCAGCATTCTAGAGGGTCTTGCTCACATAGTAGACGGGACGCTGAACGCCTTCCTCCTCGCGAACCGGCACGGAACTGATTACGCCTTGGGAAACCCCAAGATAAAGGATTAACGTCTCCCCCCTCTCCGGCTTGCTGAGTAAAGGCTCAGAGAGGAGGTACTTCTTCAGGTCGTCGAAGGCTCGCTGACACTCATCATTCCAGACGAAACCATTTTGTTTCTTTAGGACCTGGAAGAAGGGTAGGGACTTCTCGGCAGACTTGGACATGAAGCGTCCAAGGGCTGCTAGCCGGCCGGTGAGAATCTGGACTTCTTTCACCGACCTCAGGGGTTCCATGTCAAGTATTGCCCTTACCTTCTCAGGATTTGGCTCAATCCCCCTCCGTGTGACCATGTACCCCAGAACTTGCCTCCTTGGACGGCAAAGGTACATTTCTTTGGGTTCAGGCGCAGACGGACTGCCTTCATGATCCCGAAGATCTATGCCAAATCATCTGCATGATCGGACGCCCGGGTGCTCTTGACGATCATGTCATCAACATACGCCTTCATGTTCCTTCTGAGCACCTTCCGGAATACCTTGGCCACCATCCTCGTGTACGTCGCCCCAGAGTTCTTCAACCCGAAGGCCATGACAAGATAACAAAAAATCCCCTATGGGGTGACGAACGAGGTCTTCTCCGCATCGTCTTCATGCATGAAAATCTGATGGTATCCTCGAAAAGCGTCCATGAAGCTAAGGAGCTCACATCCGGCCATCCCATCGACTAGTTGGTCGATGTTAGGCAATGGGAATGGATCCATCGGACATGCCTTGTTGAGATCGGTGTAATCAACACACATCCTCCAGGTTGGCGGTTTCGGGGCCTGGACCACGTTTGCCAGCCAGACCGGGTACAAGACCTCCCGGATATGCTTGATACTCAGGAGCATGTTAACCTCCTTCTTCATGAATTCCCTCCTCTCGGTTGAGAGGTGTCTTCTTTTCTGCTGCACGAGCTTCGCCGTTGGATTGACAGCCAACCGATGGACAGTGATGCTTCGGTCAAGGCCAGGCATGTCCTCCGGTCCCCACGCGAAGACAACGCTAAAAAAGGACAAGTACCTGGATAATCTTCTCTCTCAAGCCGGCCGGGAGCCCGGTCTCGATCTTGACCTTCCGCTCCGGCCTCTCGGGGTCAATCTGGATCTCCTCCACTTCTGAGGTGGGTTCAGCGTGGAGCTGACCCTCCTCATACTTCATGGCTTTGTTGTTGATAGTGTGGACCCTGAAGTCTTTTTGACCGATTTGTTTGCAAGCTTTCAGATAGCAGCTCCTCGCCATTCGTTGATCTCCCCTGGCAACTCCGACGCCATTCGGAGTGGGAAACTTCATGCATAGGTGCTCCTGGGATATCACACATCTGAGGTCTTCCAGGGCCGGCCTTCCCATGATGATCTTATGCGCACAAGTTAGGCGTACGATGATAAACTCGACGTCTAACTTGGATACGCAGGGCTCGGAGCCCACCATCACGGGGAGGACTATGCTGCCCTCCGACTCAATGGAGTCCCCGGTGAAGCCCGAGAGTGGGGTTCTCACCGGGATCAAGTCTTTTCGGTCCAGCCCGAGACCCTGGAAGGTGTCATAGTACATGATGTTAACGGAGCTCCCATTGTCCACCACGACTCGATGGACAATTGTGTTGTTGATTTCGACCTTGATGACCAAGGCATCCCTGTGCGGCAGAGGCATCGGTGGCAAATGTACGTCGGTGAAGAAGATGGGGTCCCTCTTCACCCTCTTGTCGGTGGGAGCCCTGGTTATCTCCCCGACGTATAGGGCTCGGGCCCACTGCTTCCGCTCTAGTTTGTGAGCATGGCCACCCCGGTCCTGTCATCAAGGCCCTGAACCTTGACCGACTTGGCCCTCCACCTCGCTAGGAAGGTCAACAATGACTCCTTCTTCCCCTGTTTTAGGCCGAACAGGTGGCTGAAGTTTTTCTTGACGTCTCGGGAGCTCGCGAACCTCAAGAGAAAGCGCTGAGCCAACTCACGAAAATTCGTGATACTCCCGTCGGGTAGAGAGTCATACCATTCACGAGCCGGGCCATCCAAAGTGGCGGAGAAACCGCGGCATCGGATGGCGTCCTCGTACCCCATCATGACCATGTAGGAAAGGTACCGAGATACATGATGTTGGGGGTCAGAAGCGCCCTTGTATGCTTCAATGGCGCAGGGCTTGTAGCCCCTCGGCAACGGCGCATCCATGACCGCCCGGGTGAAAGGTTCGGGTATCCGGAGGCCAGCCGTGTAGGGTTCCCCCCCGACGACCCTCCTTCTCAACTCGTCAAGGCGCTGTCGTAGATCTTCCACCTCGGCCGGCGGTGGGTTCTCCCGAACAGCCCCAACACGGGGTTGGGCGTGTCCAGCGGCGCCTCCAAGTCGCCTGTGCACGTGAGGTCGGGCCCCCACGTTTTGCCTCTCCATGGAGTCAGTCCGGCTGCTCGCTCGGTGAGAGTGGCGAGAGGACTCGCCTCCTTCCATCTGCATTGAGCGCCCCTACTGGGTGCCCCTCCCCGCCTGTCGATGGGGTCGGCTAAGCTGCTGGGAGACTTCTTCCCTCCTGTTTTGGTTGGATCCAGAGCGTCGCTCGTCACGCCGCCTAGAGGACACCTCCACACCCGCTGGCGTCTTTTGACGGACAGGCTCATCCACATTTCCGCCAGACACCATCTGTTGGAAACTTTGAGCCAAGGTCCCCAGAACCCGAGTTGCCTCCTGTAGGGCTTCCACCCCGGCATTGAGTCGAGCCGGGTCCATGCGCGGAGCATGACGTCGCCCCCCTCCCCCCCCGCCGCCGACTGCGGACCGAGCGCTCACCTTGGATGTGGTGGATCTGGAGCAGACACGATGAAAGAACAAAGCTTGTGGAGCGGATCTGGAGCGAAGCTGGACTTGAGCGGAAAGGATGCATAGACGTGCGATGGATTATTAGGGTAAGGGAGTTTAGTCACTTTTTTGTCTAATTGGGCTTTGGTCATATATTTGTCCAATAAAAGTGTTCAAGTAATATTGATGTCATTCTTATATGAAAATAAATACAATCACGAGCATACATGCTATTATTATGACTAATTTTTTGTCATTATGATCACTTAAATACGTAATATAAAAAATCATATTTTATCCATTACACTTATTTTCATTACATATGTATCATTATTTCATTAATTATTCAGTGTGTTCATAAATAACACGGCACAAGCTATTAAGGTATACACTGTAACAGCACATTCCTATCCACCCACCTATTATATCCATATACAAACAATTTATGGGTTATACGGAGTATGTTTGTGTATAAAGGTGCGGAATAGTCATCTGGTCTTTCTTGATATCTTTAAGGTGAAGTCCGAAATACCCAAACTAGCAAGTTGACAGTAGGGGGAGGAGCTAGGTGATTTCTTTGCAGGGAGAATTTCAGGCTTTAAAGCACT